CATCATGTCCATCAATAAAACCACAGAGACCACCAGTGAGAGCAGGTCAGTGGCAGCCAGATACTTCTAAGGTCTTTAATTGCATCAGTTGTACACCTGGTTTCAGCTGTAGGCTGCTACTTAGGGCACATGTTTATAGTCAAGGAGTGCAAGCTCATGTGTTGAACGATTACACTGAACGCAAGTAGGTCCTAGACTAGACTGTGATAAATAACTAGATGATCTTCAAACATGTCTTTTGAGTTCTGACACACTCCACGTGAGGAGCGCAGGTGAGACGACACTGACAGGACTGAGTCATTTAAATGTATTATTTCCTATAAGTGATTTATTATTATTCTCTTACAGTAATCAACATTGTATTGTTCGTATTGTACTGTATGTAGCACTGGAGTTACACGTGTATCAGAACAGGCTGCAGTCAAGGTGAAGGTCATGTTTAAAGAGAGCTGCGGGGTTAAGGGTCGAAGTGTAATTGGCGTGATGAGTTTAAACGAGCATAAACGTCTGATGGTTTGAGAGACGAGTCTCTAGCCATGATCTTTGCTTCAGCAGGATTCAATATCGGTCACTAATATTGTGAAAGCAGCGAAGGGTTGCTCGTTGTTACTGTGCAGGGGGTTTTACTCCAGGAATATGGTTATTTTAGTGGTTTAAAAAATCAACATATTTTTCCGTTTAGGTCATCTTTTGGTGTTGTTTTAATGAGTTATGCATTCAGTGTCAAATGTGCCAAGTTTTGTGGCATGCCTGTTTGTTTGCAGTGAGCTAAAAAGGACAAAACCTGTACTTAATGTTTTTGCATTTGTATATTTTGATCGTGCTGTCAAACGATTAATCGCGATTAATCGCATCCAAAATAAAAGATTTTGTTTACATAATATATGTGTGTGTGACACACATATATTATGTAAACAAAAACTTTTATTTTGGATGCGATTAATCGTTTACAGCACTAATACTTTGGCTATGGGGACACGTCTAGGGAAGGGAAGTGAGCATCAAATAATTCAATTAACTTCATCTCAAATCAGATTTAATACCATTCTGTAGCAATTCAAATGTCGCTGCTTGTGCCATCCATCTGTGTTATATAAATCTGGCAATTTTTCATACATTCATATTCAGCATTTTATTTTATTTTTGGACACACCCTTGGACTGTTTTGCCCCATGTGCTCAGTGTGACCCAGTTTCCCCCGTCTTTGATTATGTTCACCTGTGTCCTCATTAGTCGATCCTCTACACCTGTCTGTCCCTCGTTAGCACCCCTATTTTAGTTGTGTTCATTTCACTGTTTGGTGTTCAGTCTGCTATGGCATTATGTGTGTCGCCTGTCTAAAGTATAGTTTTGCGTGTGTAGTTGCACATTAGTGAAACCTGTCAGACCTGTTTGAGGTGTTTAATTGGTTTCTGATGAAGTTTAGTCATGTCTATGCATCGCCAAACAACGCTTCTCTAGAATTTGCTGAATGCACTACTGTGCTCGGCTGCCAACAGCAGTATTGTTTTGCTTTGTGTTTTTCAGTGTGGTTCAGCTAAGAGAATGTTGTTTTGTTAGTACCGTGGTTCTCCTATAACAGATCTGAAGTCTGTGCCAGATCATGTGGAATGAAAGGGTTTCAAGTGTTTATTTTCCGAGCATCTCAGCATGTCAGATAATTAAAGTGTTGTGTTCTGTCCAAGATGCAGAGACTTAACATAACAAACCTACTACATTTGCGGCACTACTTTGGAAAAATGCAGACCGAAACTTGTATATTTGGCTCGATGAAACTATAACTGCTCTCACAACTTACTTTTTGTTATTTTATCTCAGATGACTTCTCTAGTGAAAAATAAATATAGAGAACTGCCTTTGAAATACATTTATTTCATGCTAAGCATACTACAAATACATTTACATATTATTTGCATAATAATAATAAACTGGTATACTTAGTCTGCTAAATTGAAACAGCAAATCTTGTACTTACTGCACTTTAATTGTAAGTCCAACTAAAGATGTACGGAACTAATGCCAAGCATGCTTTTGGTGCATTTTAAATATATAGCGATATTATTCAAATATCATACAATCCTCATCAATAGTGATGTTTAAAACACATTTTAGCCTTAATATTGAGAAATGTGCATTGTGCGCAAGTAGTACTCCAAATAAAGTTTAATGTAATTTATATATATATATATATATATTGATAATAGAGTATAAAGAGACATTAAAGCAAATACAATGTTAACAGATTTGAACTAGTATGAAATAAATGTATTTTAAATACAGTATATTACTATTTTACTAGAGTTTGGAATAAATAAATTATATATATATATTATTATTATTATTATTATTTTTTTTTATGTATTTTTATTTTTTTTAATTGAACCATGGTTTACTGAACAAGTTGCTATTTCTTTAAATACATTTAATTATAATTGCACATTTCTTAGGAACTAATAATCAACACTCAACTTAAAAAAAAATGTATGCAAACATGTGACATAATGCAGTTTTTACATAAACTTCTAAATACTAAAATTTCTATGTGTTGATGAAATATAGACTATTCGTTTATAGGCTACAGTTGCTGTCATTACTTATTCATAACAGATCCATTTAAACAGGCTACATTAATTAAGACATCACTAACAGGTAATGTAAAATATAATGAGTGTAATATTTCACGAAATGCTCTTCTCTAGACTTCATTTCTCTAGCAAATAACGAGTGTAGACGCTGAAGTAAATGAAATGCTTCGTGACATTTTGTGTACGAGCTGTTTTATCGACGTCTTTCCACGGTTGCAACGCTGATTGAGCGATTGTTACATGAGATGTTCATTCATGTTTATTTCGCGTTAAAAGTGATCGTACAGAGGTGAGAACAATCGCGTCCACTTGCATGCTTGTGTTTATACCAGCAGGTTCTGAACCAGCTCTTCTGTGCAGCGATATGGCATGCCACATCAAACACATTTATTGTTTGAACTTCCTGGAAAAAATAAAAATTGACATAACTCAAAGATGAAGTTTCACTCGTGCAGAAGTTAAAACAATGCTGCATTTATTCGGTGCACATGAGTACCGAACCGAAAGACCTGTACCGAAAATGAATGAATAGCCGACGTGTACCATTACACTTCTATATATATATATATATTAGGCCCGTAAAGTATGCTAGTTTATATGCAGTCCTTTGGCATCTCCCTGTGGTATTGTTTGGTATGGCAGCTTGACTTGTGCTTATATATACATATATGTTAAAGTTACTGTATAATTGAGTTTTACATACTTTGAAGTTGTATAGGATATCTGCAGTGACATTTTTGCAAAGTATGTTTGCAAAAAAGAACATGCGATGCTTAAATCTATCTTGAATTTGTTTTGTTTACAAAAAACCAAACAAAAGGTGTTAGGTACAAAGGTTTTAGTGTTGATTTGGAGAGGAGCGGGTCTTCTACGGGGGTACTAAGAAATTAACATTATTTTTTTTATTAAAATGTAATTAATGCAATATAAAGATACATCCAAACCAGTTTTTTTATTAATTGATTTTATATGTATTTTATTATTTATTTTTCACTTGGTAGATCTCAGTGAGCCTTTCTGGTTCTCACACCTCAATATATTCATATGCAGCATTGTTTATTTTATTTTATCATTATTATAGCTGCTGCTGCTTTAATAGTTGTTTGTGACTAAATACATTACAACAGCATTGGTTTCATAATCTCATGCTTTAGCAGTCCAGCTGTGTTTTAGCACTCATGTTGATGGATTAGATCTGATGGCATGTGTCCTTTTTATCCTTTTTGCGTGTGTAGTATAGTATGTATCTTGTGTGTTTTATCCTTTGGTGAATTGTTGTTGTGATCTTTGATTTGTGTCTTCTATTATGATGTAAACTTGTATATACTATGTTATTTATTGCTGCTTTCTTGGCCGGGTCACTCTTGCAAAAGAGATTGTAACTCAATGAGTTTTTAACCTGGTTAAATAAAGAAATGAATGAATGAATAGTGGCTCGTTAGTGAAACCTGTCAAACC